AGCGTCGCCGCGCGGCCTCGACCGTACTTCGTTCCACTCCTGCAGCAGGTTCTTGGTCTTCCACCTTCTACTGGTCCTCCTCCTCCCTTAGAGTGTCCAGAGCCTGTCTCGTCCCAGCTACAGTTGCAGCCTACCTCCCCTTTGCCTGCTCCTTCTCCCTACACTGGTCCTACTGGAGGTCTGGCTGAGCGTCGTGAGCCTGCGTCTCGCCCTGCGTCGCCTGTCCGTGCTGCTCGCACTAGTGGTCGCGGTTCGCGTCAGCGTCCTCCTCCTGTCCCTGGCACGCACCGGATGTCTCTGCGTCCGTCCACTGCTCCTCTGCGTGCCCCTTTGCCTTCTCCTCCTGAGTCCTCTCTTCCTGCTCTTGCCGACCCGGAGTCGGACTCTCTTCGTGCTGCCAGTCCTACTGTCACGCGTCTCCTTGCTACTGTTGTCACTGACCCTTCTTTCGAGTCTACTGCTGCGTCTACTCTCGTTACTGAGATCGTCGACTTTGCTGCTCGCTGTCGCTTAGACTACGCTGCTAGTCTTGTCGCTGAGTCTGAGTCTGTCTGTCCTCCGTCCGTCGGGGGTGAGTGTGCCCTTGGCACGGACGTCCTTGAGGACAGGCAGGAGGAGTTCCAGTGTCTGGCAGCTGCCTCACCTCATCTCGTGTCCGTACTGCTTACCCCTGAGGGAGACCCGGATGCACTTGACATCCCGACTCCGCGCTCTTACGCGGAGGCGATAGAGGGTCCCTACTCCTCTCAGTGGCAGGCAGCTATGGATGCAGAGATGGCTTCCTGGAAGTCCACAGGCACCTACGTTGACGCTGTCCCCCCTCCTAGGGCGAACATCGTCAGTGGCATGTGGATCTTCAGGGTGAAGCGGCCGCCGGGTTCTCCGCCTGTCTTCAAGGCGCGTTACGTGGCTCGTGGCTTCAGTCAGCGGCAGGGAGTTGACTACTTTCAGTCCTTCTCCCCCACCCCGAAGATGACCACTCTTCGGGTACTGCTGCACGTTGCTGCTCACCGTGACTACGAGCTGCACTCTCTTGACTTCAGCACAGCTTTCTTGCAGGGCAGCCTGCACGAGGAGATCTGGCTGCGTCGCCCACCTGGCTTCACTGGGTCTTTCCCTTCTGGTACCCAGTGGAGTCTCTGGCGTCCAGTCTACGGTCTCCGCCAGGCGCCACGTGAGTGGCACGACACACTGAGGACTACACTTGCGGCTCTTGGGTTTGCTCCTTCTACTGCCGACCCGTCGCTGTTTCTACGCACCGACACCTCTCTGCCGCCGTTCTACATCCTCGTGTACGTCGACGACTTGGTCTTTGCCACAGCTGACACTGCTGGACTCGCCTACGTGAAGTCCGAGCTGCAGAAGAGACACACGTGCACAGACCTGGGTGAACTGCGCAGCTACCTTGGCTTGCAGATCACCCGGGACAGAGCACGCCGCACCATTACCCTGACTCAGTCACACATGGTGCAGCAGGTCCTTCAGCGCTTCGGCTTCACGTACTCCTCGCCTCAGGCCACTCCTCTGTCTACTCGCCACTCGCTCTCAGCTCTGCCTTCGGATGAGTCCGTAGAGTCGAGTGGCCCGTACCCAGAGCTTGTTGGCTGCCTCATGTACCTGATGACCTGCACACGACCTGACCTTGCATACCCTCTTAGCATTCTTGCACGCTATGTTGCTCCTGGGAGACACAGACCAGAGCACATGGCTGCAGCGAAGAGGGTGTTGCGCTACTTGTGCAGTACGTCGGGCATGGGGCTAGTGCTTGGAGGGCGGAGTCCAGTGGTCCTCACTGGGCACGCGGACGCTTCTTGGGCTGACGACCAGGCTACGCAGCGGTCGTCACAGGGTTACACCTTCAGCCTTGGTTCCGGCTCTGTTTCGTGGCGGGCTACTCGCTCGTCTTCTGTTCTTGGCTCGAGTTGTGAGGCTGAGATCTACGCCGGGGCCATGGCTGCACAGGAGCTTCGCTGGCTCACCTACCTGCTGACCGACCTTGGAGAGCCGCCTCGTTCTCCTCCAGTCCTGTACGTAGACAACAAGGCCATGCTGGCCTTGTGTCGAGAGCAGCGACTGGAGCACAGAACAAAGCACATTGCTCTCCGCTACTTCCTTGCTCGTGAGCTACAGCAACGTGGTCAGTTGCGGCTTGCGTACGTGGCCTCTGAGGCCAACACTGCTGATGTCTTCACCAAGGCACTTCCGCCTTGTGATCATCAGCGCTTCTGCACTCAGCTGGGTCTTGTGCCCGTCTTGCCTCACTTGCTCTCCTCTTGACCTTGCCTGTACTCTCACATATATATATACCTGCTCTTGCTTGTCTAGCTTTATATATATGTGTGTACTCTTGCATGTGAACTGGTCGTGTGGCCTTGACCCTGTGCTCGGACTGTGTGGTGACTTTGTGATCCACCCTGAGCTTGCTTTGCTTTACTTTGCTTGACTGGTCTTGTGACCCCTTGTTCTCCCCCACTTTGCCTATGGGGGTGTGTCAGAACATTATAGCTTATGCTGTTGTGTAGGCTATAGTGGGGTATCCCATGGGGGGTACAACCAATTAGGGTTTCATATTTGTACTCACTTCATTTCATAGTTCACCCATTTCTTGTTCAAATCTTCTCAGGCGGCAGGGCAGGGCCGCGACGGGCGGCTAGGCCAGGGCCGTGACGGGCCGGGAGGGCAGGGCCGCTACGGGCGGCAGTAAGGCAGGGCGCGCGACGACGCAGGTGAGGCAGGCGCGAGGCGCGCTTCGGGCAGGCCAGGAAGAAATTATCGTGGTGAGCCCAAAAAAAACGTTCCCACTAGGGAACCTGCTCTGAGACCATGTGAAAGATAGAAAACGAGAATGAATTGACTAACAGCAGGATGGGTACAAGTACTAACCCTAATTGTGTTGTACCCCATATGGGCTATCCCACTACAGCCTACACAAGCTACAGCATATAAGTTTGACAACTATAGCTTGCTACAAGGCAGTTATATGAAAATATATAAATATATTTTGACACACCCCCTTAACTTCCTGCAACAAGAATAAGTGAAATTAACGGCCCCTGAAGGGGAACACCGCCAATAGGAGAGAGAACGGAAGAATGCGCAGCGGAAGAAGCAATGGCAGGTAGGTGAAACGACGGCAATGCAGGTGCTCAGCGACGGCAGATGCAGCAGCGGCTGGTGCGGCGGCGACGGTTGATGTGGCAGCAGGTGCGGCAGCAGCACGTGCAACGGCGGCAGCTGGGGAGTCGGTTGGCAATGTAGGCTCACGGCCACCCCCCTAGCTTCTCGCCCACAGCGTCAGCCGCGTGCGCAGAAGGCGCATGCGTGGCAGGCGTGAGGGATGGCGTGACGAGGCCGCTGCTGGGGCGCAGCAAGGGCACAGCTGAGGTGACGGTTGGCGCTACAGGCTTGAGGCCGCAGCCTTCCCCCCCACAGCGGCAGCGGCGGTCCCAGCAGACGCATGCGCGACACGCGTGACGGGGGTGTTAAATTGATATTTGCATATCCTATTATAACTGCCTACAGTTTTCGAGTGTACTAGTTAGATATTAGCTACAACTGCTGGTGGTGTACCCTTTCCCCTTCCTCTTGCCTATTTGTTCCTTTGCCTCTATACTGAAACCCCTCGTATTTCTCCAAACATTCTCGTAACTCTCTCCATCCTCTCACCATTCTTCCTAGCCATCATCCTAGCCTGACCTCATATGTTCAACATGGTATTAAGAGCTGGTTCCTTCTAAGGACCAACTTTTTTTTTTTTTTTTTTTTTCGGTCATGGGCCACCATTCTCGCCCGCTGCTGCGGTCATGCCCCTCCTGCTCCCCCTGTCGCGCTCTGCCCATTAACACGCGCGTCGCATTCTGCCCGTGGTGAACGCGTCAGCGGCTCGTGGCGAACATGCCAGCGAGCACGTCCACGGCCCGCCAATGCGCATGCGGACCCGCCAGCGCGTCAGCGAGCCCGTCGATGAAACCGCTAGCGACCTGCCAACGGGTCAGCGGATCCGCCAACGCATCAGCGAGCGCGCCAGCAACCCAGCCAACGGCGCGCCCACAGAATTAACTTGGCGAGTTAGAGGCAGAGCCTAGAATGAATCCGACGGGCTCGGATCAAGGATTCCGTGGCAACTTAGATCGCTGAAATCGCCCAAGTAAAGAGATCAATTGTATATTATGCAAGAGTGGGTACACAAGTCGTCAATGGAATAAACTCTCTGTTTTGCTCTCTGGATTTTATAGCTAAAACACACATGCAGAAATGTAACATCTAACGGCGCGCGACTCGCCAGAAATTCGGACTCAGGATTGCGTCCAATTTCCGCGATGTCCGCGTTCACAATTTCGGACTTTGCCGGGTTCATTTCTTCACGCCGACAATCGTGTGTTACAAGGAACAATAGCGAGTGTAGCGAAAAGTTCGTAACATTTGCTTGCACTCTCGCTACTTTCGTGCATGCATGTGGGGCTGCCAAGTGTCGGCCCCACAAATATTCGGACCCAACCGGGGGAAGTTCTGTTGCTTGGCGACGCGGACAATCCGCCGTACTCCAACCTTCCAAGAAAAAACCCTCCCTTGGTCCGAGTCAAGGGAGGTCTTCGCGTGGGGGGCAATCCCGTCCCCCACACTTCCAACAGTCCAAGCAACAGTACGCCTTGTAGCCAGGGCTCCCAATTGTGCGGAGGCCAAGAATGAGGGTGTATCTGGTGCCAAAGCACGCTACGAACAAGTTGGTCACACCTCATCACTCCCAAGATCCCTGACTCTCTCTAGTCCTCATCTAGTAGTCGACGCAGACATAATATCTCGCCGTAGTTTAACTCGTCGCAGACATAGTCCTCGACGAGTCGTCGCATACATTATTTCTTTCGCCATATACTGAGAGTCTACTTTGGGGCTGCGGAATGGCATTTGTCAAGTGGAGACCCGGGTTCATCTGCCTGCTGCTGCTGCTGCTGCTTCTCCTCGCGGGTTAGCGGCGAGCCCTCTCTTACAGCCACCGCCAAATGCGGCGCATTCGCATTTCCAATGACCCGTGCCTTTCCGCGCCGCCATGTGATGTGCTGTGCGGTGTTGTCCGGCGGTACTGTGCTGACTGGAGCTCTGCTTGTTGCTGCAGGCTCGTTGGACACTCCGTGGACGACCATCCGCACTGCCGCTCTTGCGGTAAGCTCCGTTTCAACCCTATCGAAACCGGGTTCCTGATTTTTTCGCTGAGCTGCAGTATCACTTTCCACTCTCCGCTTCTCGCCACGCAATTTCACCTTTTTCGAATCCTTCGCATTCTTTACTGAAAGTTCTTGAACTACCTGTAACACCATCGCATGCACCATCGCAAACGCCATCACATGCGCCGTCGCATGCACCGTCGCATGCACCGTCGCATGCACCACCACACGCGTCATCATCGCATGTGGTCGCTGGTGCTCGCGATGTGCGCCGCACGCATCTAAAAAAATGATGAGTATCTACTTTATAGTATTGTGAACCATACAATAATCGACATAAAAAACCACTGCTTTGACAAAGTCTAATGGCAAGGAAAGGACCTAATCAAGCATTGACGTTCTGGCGCAAGTTATCAGTTACAAGATAGTAATTATCGTATAAAGGGCACTAACGACAAACGTTACTCCGCGAACATTCAATCTGGAAGGTCGACAAGACGCCAACCGAAGCTCCTGGGGTTGGTTTTCCGTTTCCGAGCCTCACTAAGGGTACGTCCTGTTGCCTGGCTCGCGAGCCTCTCATTGGCTGGACGAAAAAGGTACGCTCATTATACGTCGCCCAGAGTTTTCTGGTCTAACGAACACTCGCGAACACCTCCCTCCCCCCCGTGTGCGGTCTCTCTCCCCTCAACACAACACTCCCACCCCCCTCCCCTCCTTCCCCCCGCACCCGCGTTTCCCGCTGGAGTGATTTTGAGACACCACATGCTCTCCCTCCCGTGTGTGTGCTCTCCTTCCCCTCACCCCCTTCCCCCCTCTTTCCCGCACCAACGTGCCTGCTGAAGTGCTTTTGAGACACCGCGTCACGGTGCTCTTCCCCCGTCTGTGTGCTCTCCCTCCCCCCCCCCCCCCCGTGTGTGCGGTCTCCCTCCCCCCGTGTGTGCGGTCTCCCTCCCCCCGCGTGTGCGCTCTCCCTCCCCCCACGTGTGCGCTCTCCCTCCCCCCGTCTGTGCGCTCTCCCTCCCCCCCCCCCGTGTGTGCGGTCTCCCTCCCCCCGTGTGTGCGCTCTCCCTCCTCCCGTGTGTGCGCTCTCCCTCCTCCCGTGTGTGCGCTCTCCCTCCCCCCGTGTGTGCTCTCTCCCTCCCCCCGTGTGTTCGCTCTCCCTCCTCCCGTGTGTGCGCTCTCTCTCCTCCCATGTGTGCGCTCTCTCTCCTCCCGTGTGTGCGCTCTTCTCTTCCCCTCTGGTAGACTGGCAGATGCCGAGACGGTGCTGGTGGGGTGGACGTACTCCCGCTGGAGTCCTGAAATCGCCAGTTCCCCCCCTGTGTGCGCTCTCTCCCCCTTCCCCCTCTCTGTGCCGCCAGGACGCCAAGACGGCGCTGGTGGGCTGGAGGTTATCCCTCTAAGTTCCTTTCGACTTGACTGTTCCACCCCCGTGTGCGCGCGTGCTTCGCCCTCCCCTCGCCGCCCCCTCTCCACCCTCCTCGCATGGCTTCAAGATGCCAAGACGGTGCTGGTGGGCTGGACACACTACCGCTGGACGCACTAGCGCTGGACGTACTACCACTGGGGTGCTTTTGAGTTCACCGTTCCCCGCTGGCGTGTGTGCGTTTCTCCCCTCCTCGTCTCTCCCCTTTCCCCTGTGAGCCGCCAGGGGGCCAACACGGTGGTGGTGGGTTGGAAGTTTTTCCGCTGGAATTCCTTTTGTTGACTCTTCCCCCCCCTATGTGTGCCCTCTCCCCCCATGTGTGCCCTCTCCCCCCATGTGTGCCCTCTCCCCCCATGTGTGCCCTTTCCCCCCATGTGTGCCCTCTTCTCCCCACTGCCCCTTCCCGGTCCTCGCTGTCAGGACGCCAAGACGGTGCTGGTGGGGTGGAGGTACTCCCGCTGAGGTCATTCTTTTCAATGCGTGCTCTTCCTCCCACTCGCTCTCCTTCTCCCTCTTCCTATCCCCTCTGTGTGCCTTCAGGACGCCAAGACGGTGATGGTGGGGTGGAGGTACTCCCGCTGGAGCCCCAGAGTGCGCATGTGGCAACCCTTCCCCCGCATGTGTGTGCTCTTCCCCACCCCCCTCAAACCCCCTCCACCCCTCTTCCCCCCCCCCTCCCAGGACGCCAGGACGGTGGTGGTGGGGTGGAGGTACACCCGCTGGAGCCGCAGAGTGCGCACATGGCCAGCCCCTCGTGTCGTCTCTGGAGACGTTCTTGGTTAGTGTTCAACTGAATTTTTAACAAGCTGTTCAACTGCTTTTGAGGCGCCTCAAAAGGCCTCTCGTGTCTACGCTGGGGACGTTCTTGGTTAGTGTTCAACTGAACTTCTTAACAAGCTGCTCAACTGCTTTTTCTTTAACAAAGTTGTTCCTGCTGCCGCCTCCCCTTCTCTTTCTCTCTCTCTCTCAATGCGCATTACCTCTCACTGTCAGCACATTCACTTCTTGCCCTCAACTCCTCACACTTCTCTCTCTCCCCGCCCTCACACCTCGCTAGCCTTCTCCCAACCTCCCCCACTCTCCCTTTCCCCTACACACCTTCGTCGCTCTTCCCACATGCGCACACCCTTTCTTGATCCCCAAGCACACACCTCTCTTGATCCCCAAGCACACACCTCTCTTGATCCCCAAGCACACACCTCTCTTGATTCCCAAGCACACACCTCTCTTGATCTCCAAGCACACACCTCTCTTGATCCCCAAGCACACACCTCTCTTGATCCCCAAGAACACACCTCTCTTGATCCCCACGCACACACATCTCTTGATCCCCAAGCACACACCTCTCTTGATCCCCAAGCACACACCTCTCTTGATCCCCAAGCACACACCTCTCTTGATCCCCAAGCACACACCTCTCTTGATCCCCAAGCACACCATTTTTGCTCTCCCCACACACTCTTTTCACACTCCTCTCTCGCTCGCCCTCCCTCGCACTTGCACGTGCCGTTCCCCAACCCAGCGTTCAGGTGGAACAACTAGCTGCACAAGCACAATCTGGTGGGCCTGTCCGTGACTCACAACATGCTCTCCCTTGCACGTGTCTTTGCTTTCTCCTAATCCAGTGTTCAAGTGGAAAGACAGGGTGCGCAGGCACAACCTGGTGGCAGTGGATGTCAACCGCTTCTTAACCTGCCACTTTGGGGCTTCTGGCGAACCCTTCACTGTGCTTCATGGGCCATCACACCGCGGCATGGTCTGGGTTAAAGTGGGAGATTTAACCTACACAGGGTATTTCACCAGCAGCTCTGGCAACGACTGCCTCAGAGGCATGAAGGTTGTCATAATTGCTGAAGATGCTTGAGTTAGAGGAGCGTACAGTAGTGTACGTTTTGTTATGAATTCATTGGTTATGAAAAAAAATGTTGTGAGTTGTCAAATGTTGATATTTGTGATAGGCTGTAGTGAGGTGCTCCTTAGTGAGTACAAATATGTTAGGGTTTCCTATTTGTACCCCAACTCCTTTCTAGTCAAGCATTCCATTGCATTCTAACTTTGAGATGGTATCAGAGCAGGTTAGTTCCTCGTTCCTTCCTAGCCCGCGTCCTCTCTAGCACACCTCCGCGCCCTCCGCACCCTCCGCGCCTTCACCTCCGCGCCCTCCGCGCCCTCTCCGCGCCTTAGCGCCCTCTTCCTCCGCGTGTCCGGGCCCTCCGCGCCCCTAGCCCGCGCCGTCACGGACCTCCGCGCCTAGTGCCCTCCACGCCCCTAGCCTGCCCCCCTAGCCCGTCGCCCAAGCCCGCGCCCTAGCCCGTCGCCCGGGCCCGTGCCCTAGCCCGTCGCCCAGGCCCGCGCCCTAGCCCGTCGCCCAGGCCCGCGCCCTAGCCCGTCGCCCCAGCCCGCGCCCTAGTCCGTCGCCCCAGCCCGCGCCCTAGCCCGTCGCCCCAGCCCGCGCCCTGGCCCGTCGCCCCAGCCCGCACCCTAGCCCGTCGCCCCAGCCCGCGCCCTAGCCCGTCGCCCCAGCCCGCAACCTAACCCGTCGCCCCAGCCCGCGCCCTAGCCCGTCGCCCCAGCCCGCGCCCTAGCCCGTAGCCCCAGCCCGCGCCCTGGCCCGTCGCCCCAGCCCCGCAGGCAGCGCGCCGAGCGGGTAGCGCGCCCCGCAGGCGGCGCGCCCCGCGGGTAGCGCGCCCCGCAGGCAGCACACCCTGCAGGCAGCGCGCGCCCCGGAGTGCTTTAGCGCCAGATAAATTGATTAAACCCTAAAAAAAAAAACAAAAAAAAGGGTTTAGGGTGGGGGCCTGCAACTGTCGCCCGCGTTCCTGCTTGCCGGACGACCTGCACAGTTGCCTACATCCCGCAGCCGTCAGTACTGCAGCCCCTACTGTCGCACGTACATTCCACTGCCAGTGGCTCTACTAACGGCAGCCGACAGCCGCACTTACGGTCTCTAGCTCCGGCCGTTCCTACCTCCAGCCAGCCCTAGCTCGCCGTTTCTAGCTCCAGCCAGTTGTGCTCCAGCTGTTCTAGCTCCAGCCGTTCTCGCTCCAGCCGTTCTCGCTCCTCGCTCCTAGCTCAGTTTGCTCCGTGCTCCGGCCGTTCCTCGCCTAGTTTCACCTGACGCTTCTAGCTCAGTTTGCTCCGTGCTCCAGCCGTTCCTCGCCTAGTTTCACCTGGCGCTCCTAGCTTAGTTCGCTCTGTGCTCCAGCAGTTACTCGCCTAGTTTCACATGGCGCTCCTAGTTGTTCTCGTTTTTCACTGCAGCCGTCCCTAGCTCCTGTCGCTCCTAGCCTGCCGCTCCTGCACCCCGCTAGCTTTTATCATGGAGTCCACTAGGGTTCTCCAGCAGCAGGGCCAGCAGCAGCGGCCGTTTCAGCAGTGGCTTCTGCAGCAGCACGGGCGCCCTCAGCAGCTGTGGCGCCCTCAGCAGCCGTGGGGGCCTGGTGGTTCAGGTAGCGTTGGCTGCAGCACCGGCCTAGCCAGCTGGGGGGCTCGTCGCGGTGGCCGCGACGTCGGCCCCTGCCAGTACCGGATCCTGACCGGCCCTGGTGCTGGCACTACCTGCTGGCGTCCTGACCACTCTGCACAGCGCTGCTACAGCCGCCTCGACGACCTTTACCGTGAGCGTTTTGGGCCTGAGTCGGCTCCCCCGATCTGGCCCGGTCTGTTTCGTAGTGGTTACCCTGTGTTTGATATGTCTATGGATGCTGTTTATTCTGTCACATACGGATCTCTTGGCTTACGTGTACCTAGCTTAGGACCTTTGCCTGTTGCTAGTGTCGGTACTTGTGCTTTTAGTGTAGGTGCTTGTGTAGTCACTAGCCCAGCCGTGACGACTGCTGTTGCGTCGCTCTCCTTCACGCTGGACTCCGGCGCGTCTCAGTGCTTCTTCCGCGACGACACCACTGTCACACCTCTTTCGGCTCCAGTCCCAGTTGCCCTGGCTGATCCTAATTCAGGACCAGCAGTTGCTCGCAGCTCGACCACTCTCCTGTGCCCAGCTGTCCCCTCTGGTTTCCTCACTGGTCTCGACATCCCCTCGTTCTCTCGGAACTTGGTGGGTGTTGGATACCTTCAGGACCGGGGGATCACAGTCACTTTTCCTGCGCACGGGAGGACTGCGATCTGTACGGACTCTTCCACCGGGGCAGTTCTTGCTACGTTCACCAGAGAGCCCCACTCAGGTCTCTTCGTCCTGCAAACTCCGCCCCCGCAGGTAGCTGCGTTTTGTCAGGTTGCTTCGTCCCCCCCGGTAGCAGAGTCCGGCCAGGTTACTGCGTCCCCACCGGTTGCTGTGTCCGGTCAGGTTGCTGTGTCCGGTCAGGTTGCTGTGTCCGGTCAGGTTGCTGTGTCCGGTCTAGTTGCTGCGTCTTGCTCGTGTCGGTCTTTCACCCACCGGACCGTCTTGTGGCACCACCGTCTTGGCCACCCGTCGATCCCCTGCCTCGATCCCTCGCCTCCGCATTATGGCTAGTCACCGTCTTGTTTCAGGTCTCCCTCGTGTCTTCCCGTTGCTCCCTCCCTCGCCTGCACCGCCATGCACTCCCTGCGTCGCCGGCCGTCTTCGTGCCACTCTGCACTCCTCCTCCCTTCGTCCGGCCACTGCTCCCCCAGACACTCCACTTGGATGTCTGGGGCCCTGCACCTACGAAGAGACCTGAGAGGGAGCGCTACTTTCTGGTGGTTGTTGATGACTTCTCCAGGTACACCACGGTGTTTCCTCTCACAAAGAAGTCCGAGGTGACTTCTACGCTGATCCGGTGGCTTCTAGCCACTGAGGGCACTCGTGGCCGTCGTCTCTCCTGTCTCCACTCTGACCATGGGGGTGAGTTTCGCTCAGGCATTCTTGCCGGATTCTGCGGCGCGCAGGGCATCGTACAGTCCTGGACGCTGCCGGAGTCCCCACAGCAGAATGGGGTTGCTGAGCGCCGCATTGGCTTGGTCATGGACATCGCCCGCACGTCCATGATTCATGCCCGTGCGCCCCATTTTCTGTGGCCCTACGCGGTTCGCTACGCCGCTCACCAACTGAACCTCCAGCCGCGCGTCTCGCGGCCAGAGGCTTCACCGACCAGTCTTTGGACCGGGTCCCCTGGTGTTGGGTCAGCTTTTCGTGTCTGGGGCTGCCTTGCGCTTGTCCGCGACACCTCTGCGGACAAGCTCTCGGCTCGCGTCGTCCCCTGTGTCTTCCTTGGTTTCCCGGTAGCCTCGGCCGACTGGTCCTTTTACCACCCGCCCCTCCACCAGTTCCTAGACTCCCATGACGTCCAGTTCGACGAGTCAGTGTCCTACTACACCCGGTACCCCTGTCGAGGTCTCCCGGTTCCCCCTCCCCCCCTTTTCGTCGCACCCTCTCTTCCCCCTGCTCTCGCTCCTCCAGTACTCCCATCCCCCCCTGGTCCTGCCCCGTCAGGTGTGTCTCACACTACCCCTCTACCCTCGGTCGCGCGTCAGGTAGTGTCTCCCTCCCCGCAGTCCTCCTCACTGTCCCCTCAGCAGCCTTCGGTACTTCCGCGACAGTTACTGTGGACTCGGTTGGTCTTGGAGCTGGAGGTGCGGCCACTGGCGGTACTCGGTCTGCGGGTGCTCGTTCGAGGGGTGCTGGAGTTGGAGGTGCTGGCGCAGGTGGCGCTAGCCCTGGGGTTGCTGGAGCTGGAGGTCCTGGCACTGGAGGTGCTAGTCCTGGGGGTGCTGGAGCTGGAGGTGCTAGCGCAGGTGGCGCTAGCTCTGGGGGTGCTGGAGCTGGAGGTGCTGGCACTGGAGTTGCTAGTTCTGGGGATGCTGGA